AAATTCAAGGACGCAGAAGGTTTGTTTCTGTCATATGCCTATAGCACCTGGTAATTTTGTGCAGCATAGTAAATACTCACTTTCCATGGGACAAAGATCAGCACATGTGAATAAGGCAACAAAGCCTATGCAGTTTCAGTATGTAGCAGAAAGTAGACTGGAAATGAGGACCAACACCTGAGAAGAACTAGTGGGTGGTACTGCCAGTACAGTTTGCCATTTGTTGCATGTATTTCGTCCAATACAAATCAAAGTTAGGGAGAACTTTGCTTTTTGAATGCTAACCAGTTCCCACCTTGAACTTTATGTGAGCTGCAACTGATTTATAAGACACTGAACATAAACGACTGTTAAAGTGGCTTTTATGGCAATGAGAAAGGCATCACATCACCCTTGAAAGAAGAATGATAATGCTGAGGGGATGTGCTGTAAGGCACAGAATGCCATACTGACATTGAGGCAGACCAAAGTAAAGCAACCTGTACCAGTTCTCTGTCAGAGTCCACGCTGCTTACAGAAGCTTCGACCTAATTTCCTCATAGCCCTGTGCCTAGGATTTTCTATTGATCAGTTTTAGCTGGAATGTTTATTTTCTGCCTTTGGCTTGCTCCCACATGCCAGACTGGGCACCTATACCCAGAAGAAGAAGGTACAGGTAGAACTGGTCTTCTTGGATGGGACATAAATCTCTATTTGAATATCAAGAATTTCTGCATCACCTACTTCATCTGAAATGGAATCTTATCTTTCAAAGAATGCTGCTTGCAGTTCTTCAGACTGGTTTTTTTGTTTGTTTTGTTTGTTTGTTTGAAGCTTTCATTGTCCTGGAATAGGATGAGAGTTCGCAAATACTGCTGTAAGAACATTTGGGTCATAAATTTCCCTGAAGAAATGTAATGTTTTTCCATTTAATTTGATAACTTCTCATGGGCCTCTGGGATGAAGAGATGTTTCATCGTCCTATGCATTTTTTGACATGTGGCTAGTGCAACATGCGTTACTACAGGGATTTTTTACAAAAGAGTGACCTTCTGCTAGGGAAAAAATGTAACAACTCAATTAAAAGAAATAGTGAAGGTCACAACACTTTCCCTACCCAGGTGAAAAATCAAGCGGTGGAAAATGTAAGCTGTATTTACTTCAACATATGGTAATTTAAGTATTATGTGGAAAACTCATTGATATGGTAGAATTCCATTTTAGGATGCCTCTGGAGAAAAAAGTGATGGAGTTATTAAAATTTGTAAGAAAATATATTAATCAGTCTTGTGTTAGAACATTGAGTCTGGAGGAAAGCATGCTCTCTGGGTAGAAGCAAACAGCAATGGGAATCATGGTCCCTAGTCTGTCACTGCTTCTTGTCTGATTTTAGAGGAGTTACTTATGCCTTAACTGAGTAGCCTAGAAACAGCTAACAGCTAAGCACCAGAAGCATCGTGGGACTTTGCATATGCAAATGTTAGGTATTAGAGTGCTGTCAGTATCCCTTGCCCACAGAGCAAGTAGACCCACCCTGAAGCTATACCACTGCTCCCTTTAGCAAGCTACTCCACATAATCCCTTTCACAGCTGCCAAATTCAATGATCACTCCTTGGGGAGACTTTTTGGGGCACCTAGCATTGCAGGGGTTATCAGCCAAGTGACATCCCTGAATGCAGTGGTTGTAAATATTCCCGGCTTTCTACAATAAATAAATAAGAAAGATCCTTCCTCTCTTACATGTTCATGTCAGGATCAAACACAAGCTGACCTTTATTTCTAAGCCTCATGGTTTTTTTCTGTTGCAAAAGTGACTTAGAATCATAGAATCATAGAATCAACAGGTTTGGAAAAGACCTCTGAGATTATCAAGTCCAACCCTTGATTTTAAGAAAAATTAGTACCTTATTCAACTACCTCCTTTCTAAGCAGTCCTAGTTAATGTCAGCTGACCAGCCAGCTATGAAAATAATGGGGTTCTGTAGATTTACTGGTGTATGTAAAAGTTGAGGCTTCAGGTAATTCTATATCTCTGTCAGCTGTTCCATGAATGGTGACAAGTACAAGCCTGCCAGAGGATTTTCTTGATAAATGGAATAGTTAAAGACTTCAGCCACATTCACAGTAGAATTATATCACTGGTTTTTTTCTTGACAGTCTTCTTTTTCAGATGTTTGGAAGGGCTATTTCTTAAATCAGAGAAACATGTTCTTCCTTTCCTTCCTGTATTTCTCCTCTCCCCAGAGATGGCAATCTGGGGCTGTAGTGAAGGTGTATGAAGCTACTCTTCAAGATATTGCAAATTCCACTTCTTTTTTTATATGAACCTGGAGCAAATCTGTGCGGTTATTAGACCTTAAGACAATATAAGACTTAAGACTTATTAGACCCAAGCTCAGAACACCAGTAAAATAATTTAATGAGTTTTCCTAGTAACAACTTTTGTGCTTTCCAAAGACTTCAAGCTAAGCTTATACATCACTAACCACGTATTACAGGTACATACAGGTATTATACACATAAGGGAAGAAGAAAACAGAATTTGCACTGTCTGCTGGCAGGATGCTGATTTAAACATTTTCCCTTTAGAATGATAAAAAGTAAAGAAATCGAGAACAGGTTGTTTGAAGTACAGCAGTTGCAGTAAATATGATGGTTATTATGTAAAAAACCTTTAATACAAAATAGCTGTTCTACTAGAGAATGTGATGGGTTAGTCAAAAAGCAGCTTGCCAATGGAAAGAGTTTAGGGATAATTCTGTAATTATTGTATTGATTTAACTTTGTGTTCCTATTGAGGGAGAAATTCACATATTAATTTTACAGGACTTCTGTAAAGGGGAAACAGACCTTTAGGAAGTAGCAGATTCTACTGTAAACTGTGTAAGAAACTTCTGAAATTCTGAAACTTTACTTTCCATTTGAATGAATTCCAGAAAACCATAAGTACAGACTAGAATGAAACAAACATAAAAACTATGTAAAACAAACGTTCATTAAATAAATGTGCAATTCAGAAGAGAGAATCAGTTTCTCTTTGTTACTAAACTCACAACATTCAACTCTTTCTGAACACTTTTTTTGAGTCACTTTATGAGCTGTGACTGGTAGAACATTTAAGTCACAGAAAGGCCTAGTTTCTGGGGCTCTGAAAATTTCAAGCAATAGTTTTTGGGAAAGAAAGGGTAGAGTGAATGGAAATACATTGAATGAACTGCTTTGTACTTTATAGCAAATACAGTCAACATAGTTTTTACCAATGTTTCACATCTGTTTTTACAGATGATATTTCAATTTCTGCCACTAAGAATTTATAATCTAAGGGTTAAATTATAGGACACAAGGAAGAGGTTGCATATGCCAGGTCACAGCAAAGTCAGCGGATCTCAAGCACGGGCTTAAAATTAAAGTCCTGTTTAACGATATTCTGAGTAAACTGCCACGTACTTTCTTGAACTGGTGCATCTATTCAGTGAGCAGTTGCAGCATGATTACTTTTAATCTTGAGCTGAGTTCAAAAGAATTACAGTCACTGCCAACTCGCCTTTATTCACTGTTAGTGTCACCATTTAGCTAAGTGAACAGCATGACTGGTCTGATTACAATAGCAGAGACCACCTTTCATAAAGTAGAAGAGCAAGAAACTCTGAAAATGCCCACCTCAGCTGATTAGAAGTACTATTTAAATTCAAAGGGAAATTAGAAATAGCTGCCACTTTATTACTGAAGGGCTGTGTCCCTTGCTAAAGCAATTAAGACTATCTCCTGTGACTCAATAGGAGCTATTTTGATTTGCTCTAATTGCAGATTAGACAAACTGGGATTAAGCAACATGAAATAAATTCCTTGTAGAAAGAAGGAAACATACTTTCACCCAATTGAAACTTGGCATTTTATTCTTACCCAGAGGAAAAAATTCAGATGCATTTTGAAGGGGCCTTCTGGTGGTTTCTAAGTCTCCACATTCTGATTTGTGTTTAAATTTTGGGAAGTGTTGAAAATGGTTTTTTGTTTTAAAATTAGATGTGTGCATGTAGATTATATTGCATCTGCATAAAAGATAGGTTATTCGGGGTCCACAAGAAATTTCTTCTCTTTTAACATTAGCAACTTTTTCTGTGCATCAGTATTTAGAGCTGGCTCCTTGGTGTCCATGAGTAGCTCCTGTAGCAAAAGGAAGCACACATGCTTTTCCCAGTGCTGGAGTGCAGGGAGGCTGCTTGCTGCACTCATATAACCCCACTGCTGTAATGTGCTGCTAGGGGCTGTAATAACAACCACTCAAAGCACAGCAGGCCTGTTGCTGCTCCCATTTATGGCAGGGTCAAGGGAGGACAAAGGAGACATAAAACATGTTTCTCCCTAATTCAGCTGCTTCAATTTCACTAAGCAGAATTCAGGTACAGCTGAGGATTTCGGCACCTTTCCCTGGAAAGTTTGCCCCTGGGCCATTAAAAGTGGTTTAAATAATAAAATTAACTCACCTCTTGATATCATATACTCTCTTTCTCAGATCAGCAATTTTGTTAACAGATAATGGTGATAAAGATTTATTTTTATGAGATTTTTTTATGGCTTTTAAATATCATATGCAAGTTTACAGCTCTTTGGCTCCTTGCAGTGATGATTAGGATGGTCTCTCTTTTTTCTTTCTTTTCCCTGTTTCTGAAGCAACCATGAAATAAAATAGAAAAGCATACAGAGCTGAAAAAAATAAGCTCTTAAGAAATAATTCTGCCATGCAATTTTGGAAACTCTTTTCAGGTCAGTGTCATTTTTATAATTGATGTTACCAGTTCTATGCTTTGTATTTTTCCCCTAAATAAACAATCCAAATATACTTCAAGTGCTCTTCCCACATAAGGCAACCTGAAAATACGTCAAGCAGCTTGATTTGAAAGTTTTTTCAGAATGTAGTTAGCGTACACATTTTACTGAATGATACACATTTCTTGAAACCTACTATCTGACATAAACCCTGTTCAGGTGCCAAGAATAGTGATGAGAAGCATATACTTACATTTCAGCTCCAGTTTGATGAAGTCAGTGTTACCCAGATTCTCAAGAAAAACCCCATCTGAGGCTGATGTTTTGAAATAGAAGGAGATGTCTGCACTGGTTTCCCCTTGGAAGGTGGAGAAGTGGAGGTAAGACGATGAAGTAATGAAAGAAGCTGCATTCCAGTAATTCCCTGCATGGGATAGACAGGAAAGACACGTTTCAGTGCTCCCTTGAAGATGTCTGAAAAGTTGAAGCTTTTAATGTCAATATATGCTACAGTGTTGTCTACACCGAAAAAAACCCCTTCAAGCGCGTTGATTCTACTACCTCCTTTTTGTTTTTCTGGGTGCGGTGTGTCAGATTTCAGAAGGCAGAGCATGTTTATCGTAACTTTATTTTCAAGCTCCTAATTTATTATATCCACTCATACTCAAATATGTTGTTACTACATGTTTAGTATAGTAAAACTGAATTCATGGGAGATCAGACAGATGGACAAAACACTAATTTGGTGTCTGCCTCACCCCAGGCACGTTTTGGTTTCATGCATTTCTTCATGTGTGACTTATCTATCTTCAAATTTATTCTACACAGCTACACAGCTACACCTCCTTCCTCTGAAAACATAGCCATGTCTATTAGAAGTCTATTAATATACATCAAAATAAAAATCCAAGAAATGAAGCTAAGCAATACAAACACAATTAGCATGTGTTCCTAATTGTCCCCTGGTACATTTCCATTGTAGAAATATAATAATTAATAATATCCAAGACCTATTACTGTACTTTAGCTAGCCTGATAGTCAAATTCTGTGCAAGGTAGCATTACCACGCAAACACAAAAAATTCATAAGATATAAGAGAAGACTCTCTTAAAATTCATAAGAGAAGGCTTCAGAGTGACCAAATTGTTGCCTTCCAGTACCTGAAGGGAGCCTACAAGAAATATGGAGAGAAACTATTTACAGGAGCATCTAGTGATGTGACAACGGGGGTTTCAAACTGAAAGAGGGTTTATATGACATATTAGGAAGAAATTCTTTACTGTAAGGGTGGTGAGGCACTGGAACAGGTTGCCCAGAGAAGTTGTGGATTCCCCATCCCTGGAAGTGTTTAAGGCCAAGTTGGACGTTGCTCTAAGCAACCTGTTCTAGTGAAGTGTCCCTGTCCATGGCAGAAATGTTGGAACTAAATGATCTTTAAGGTCTCTTTCTACCCAGGCCATTCTATGATGATTCCATGATGATGATATAAGTGATATGGTAAGCCAATGAGAGACTAAAACAGCTAGTTCTAGTTTAATCAGAATGCTTATGTATCCAGATTCAGAAATTTATTAGAATATCCTCATTATGTAGCCACAACTGAGCCTTTAGTATGCCAGCTAATAAACACAATAATAAACTACTTTCCATTCCAGTCAAAATTCCCAGAGATTGGTTTTCCATTATTTGATTATTGAAGTACCTGATAATACTATTATTTATCTGGTTGGCACTGGATGAATATGAATGAGGATGCTGAACCTCAGCACTGCTTATATATAACACCACTGGCCCACAGCCATATCAGAAGTATTATTATTTGTGTAATTCAGCAATATTTATTCAAATTTAAATTGAACATCTGAATTAACAGAAAGCTTTATTTTTAAATACATGCAAACAACTACCTTCCATAGTACTATCCCATCTCTTCCATTTAATTCTGCCTCTCTCAAGGATGCAGAGGGAAAAGAAGCAGCTTTCTGTTTACTGCAGTGCATCACAGGAGTAAAGTTGTAACTGAGACTTTGTGTGTATGTGTATAAATGTGCATGTGAGCAGTGAAATAGACATTCGTAAGATAGCTTTGTGAATTAACCAGTTGAGCTGGGTCAGCTAGCTTCAACATGTATCACCAGTTACCCTATTTACACAAACTAGTAATTTCAAGATTGAATATTATTAATTATTTCTATAGAAATATTAATAATCTTCATATCACAGGCATGCTTGGGCAAGAAATATCTGCTAATTAATTGCAAAGTCTTTCTCTGAAAACATACCTAGTGATAAAGCAGCATAGATAAAAAAGGTCTAGAATTTTATTTTCATTCATAGTCTCAAGTCTCTTTCTATCTCTCACTTTTCAAAGTGCTTCCTCAATATTAGGGTTGCTTATGGTCTAGGTTCATGAGTACTTTGTCAATAATCTCTTAGTACAGGGTCCAGATGGACTTAGTATATGTGCTTTTCCACTTGCAGATGTACCTGGACATCCATGTTTTTCCCCCTGGGAGCTACAGATATGCTAGATGCTGGCAAACTCTCAAAACAGGTTTCATTCCACTTGCTGAGTAAACTCACATGAAATAAGTGGGATTTTGACAAAAAGTCAGGAATATATTAATACAATCCTTGTTAAGCAGCTAATTTAGTTGCCCTGAATAATCTTGTAGAAATGCTTGCATGTCTTTATAACTTAAATAAGTATTTTAGATCCCTAGGTTTACATTCTCTGAATATTACCAAACTTATAAGCCTAAACCACAAAGAACACTCGACAAGCAAAATTGCTGTGAGAGCTACAAAATTCAAGTACTACTAGAGACAAATCTCTCTTCCATGAGAAAGGCTCCCTAGCTGCCTCACTACAGCAAAGGAGACCAGGCTGATTGTGCAGCTGTGTCACTGTCCAGCCAAAAAGCATGACTGCAATGGATTCTGCTCTCAGGCTTTCTCCCCTTGCCAGGGATGCCAGTTAAAGATGAGCCTTCTGCAAGCATGACCCAGCCTTCAGTCACTGCATTCCATGTTCTCACCATACTTGCATCTCCTGTGAGCCTTACACACATGAAGAGCCACAAGTTAGACAGATATCTTAATCAATTCCATGATGCATTGACAATGGCTGTTTTGAAAGGAGCATATTTTTGTCATGTTTTATTTTGTCATGTTGTGGTGCAATGAAATCCTAGTCCCTTAACTGGAGCTTCCACTACAATACAGTATATTATTATAATTAATATTGCAATAAAGTAAATAAGAATAGGAACTGGTGTCCTGGTTAGAACGGCTAGGACCAATTCATCCCTGGATGGGTGTAACCCAAAACTGTGTATTCTATAGCCTCCATGCCATTTCCCAAAAACTGCTGTCAGTAGAGGCCTGCAAGGTGGGAAGATGTTCCAGTACCCTTTTATGGAATTCCCCGCTCTGATATCCTTATATGGAATTCCCCGCTCTGATAAGAGGGACTGAGCATCCACATGCCCTTTTATGGAATTCCCTACTCTGAGGGAGGGACTGAGCACTCCCGCCTGAACTGGAGAGTATATAACTGGGAGTTTCAGAGCCTTGGGGCTCTCTCTCGTGGGACCCAGAGGAAGACAGCAGACCACCGCTGCTCCCAACCAGGCTGAGACCACCACCCTCAACTGGACTGCAATCACCACTTCTGACCAGACTGCAGCAGCTCTCCCACCAGCAGGTTTTATCCCCTCTCCCTTTGCTTTGGACTCGGGGGGGGTGGGCCAAGGTACACCACTTTTGTTCATACCCCAGGGTGCTGGGTTTGTACATTTGGGTTTTGTGGGTTAAAACCAATTGTCTGTCTGTATACTTGTACTTATTGCATTATTTTAATAAATTGTTATTCTGACTTATAAATGTCTCTTTTGAATTGAGTTCATTTTGCCTTGCTGGTTAACTTTTAAACCAGCACAACTGGTATATGAAATAGCTATATATCTGGTAGCTTTTTTTTATATCTTTTTAATTATCTTGCAAACTTGAAAGCACTAAATGCAATTTAATATAGACTCAGTCTGCAATGCTGGGACACTCTGGGTTAAATCCTTAATTATGACAGCGCATAACTAAAGAGCAGGTTTGCCTTTAAAGGGAATTAATTTTCAGTTGTATGTGACCACTCCTTATTATAGTCAGACATTTCAGAGTCTTTAGGATTGGTATTGGTTGTGGATTTACCCAACAGGCCCCGGCCATATGGCTAAGATTTCAAACCTTTACCACAATATGCTTACAAGAAGGGCTACAACTACCAGCACACCTGCAGGGCCAGATAGGTAGGTGGGTTCGTATGGAAATGCGCGTCACCTTTTTACTGAAAATGAATCAATTTTTACTTAGTGCTGCTCCCAGCCTACTGAAGAGGTTCATCAGTAAAGATTTTACATTTCATTCAAAATGCTGTGATTTGGCTCTGCAGAAAGCCTTGGCTGCAGATGTTACTGGTGAGAGTATGAATACAAATAATGCAGACAGAATAGGAGAACCTGCAGCTTGAGAGAGATGCTTTCATGGGCTATTCATAAGAAATTCCTATAAAGATAAAATCATGTTTTCACACATAGGTATACATTTGTCTCAAAACACTTCCAGGGGAAAAAGATTTTTTATTCAGAGTACAAGAGAAATGTTTTGCTAAATATGCATAATGATCTTTATCATAAAATGATAATTTTGAAAAGAAAGGGGTTCCCTAAGGAAATCTTGTATAAAAATCCACTTCACACACATTATTATTGTTTCTTGGAAGGAACTTTTGTCAGTCACTGTGCCTCAAAATTTCTTCAGTACATTGTCACAATTCTTTCCTCAAATGGTTTGAATGTATCAATCCTACAAGCATTTTTCTTCCACTTTAGGCTGAGCAAGCTGTAGATGGAGAAAATTGGGACAGGAACTTAAACCACAGGTTAGAGTTACGGCAGCAGGAATATCAGACCAATAGAAGGTGGGAAAGAGAGTTTAGAAAGAACACCCTAAATGCTAAGTTTGTGATGTATAAAAATACCACAGAAGCTAAGGAGGATTTTTATTGTATTATCTGAAATATGACATTATAATTTTACTTTTTTCTTTGTAACCTCAACCATAATTCTGTAATCAAGACCATAGCTCTGTTGCGTATCTCTTTTGTTTTAAGCTTGCCTAATGTTTAAATTTGATTTAAACCAATTAAACATGTACAGAGCATGCTGCTGTCATGGAAGCACAAATACAAATAAATCAAGGCACCAGACAAGCCTTTTCAGTTTTTTGCAGCTCAAGGTAAATGTCGAGATCCTCAAAAACTGTCTGTGTTTCTCGCAAAACTGCACGTTTCTTGGTGATGGTATTAAGTCTCAGGGCATGCAGAGGCAGGAAAGGGAATGGCTGACCACAGCCCCAGAGGAAACTGT